TAAAAGCAAAAATAGTCGATTAAAAGGAATCAAGATGGTTGAGGTGAGTTTAGTTTTTGTATTTAAGTAAAATGATTCTTTTAATGATCTAATGTCTATATTACTTTAACATTGTGTAGAATCATTAAGTAGATAGGTTTTAGTATAGATATTGTAAGTAGGAGTGAAATCATAATAGAGTTTGGAATCCACTTAGATTAGAATAGAATAATTATATTAAAATCCTGAATATAACCTTAAAAAGTCTGAATCAACTTAAATTCTGTTCCTACTTACGACATAGATACGTATTACTATATTACTGTTTAATGAATATTATCGAGCAAAATATTATAATACAAAAATTATAATGGTTCAAAAGGGAAGCTATTATTTAAAAAGTTATAATTAATAAAGTGTAAAGTTTTATAAGTATTTTCTAATTTGGCGAATACAAATGCGGGTAACTAAAGTAATTTTTGGTATTAACCAATTAATGATATATTTACTTAATTGAGGTGATTGAGTATGTATATTTAAGTACTGTTATTCATACATCAAAGATAATATGCAAAAAAAAAATATAACTATATCGGCTGTATAAGCAGCTGATACAGTTGTACCTTCGCAATAAATATTGCCTACATCCAATTGATCAGGATATATATTACTAATGAGAGCAGTATGATTTTTATTCTAATAAAAGTTAATATTTTGAGTTTTGCTAGTGTATACATATCCTCATATGAACTAATCTACTATATTTATTAGTGCTCTTATATAAATAAAAATTTAAAGTTGACCAATTTATTAATTAATAATAAAACGAAATGCAAAAATACAAATTTTTTATTTTTATTGATTTATTTTTATTTTTTAATACATTTTTATATATATATTTTTTTATTTATTATTATTATTATTTTTTTTTATTTTACTGATTAATATCACCAAATTCTTCTAAAATACTTGTAGAAACATGGTGATGTGATCGATACTGTTTCATTGCAAAAACAGCTGCCTTATCTGTAAACCCAAGTTCATAAGCACTCATGTAACATTCAGAACAACGTATGAATCGGCAAATTTTCGTTAGGCTAATGGATTCCAATACACATGATACAACTTTCTCAAGGCTCTTGAACGTGTAGTCGCAATAAAGCATGAATACCTTTTTGTTTCTGCCCAGAATAACTCAATATAATTAAGTTCGCAGTGGAACTTTGGGTAAAACATACACATATGGCCTGTTGTTTCAATGATCTAAAAAAAGTATTAATATTAATAGGTTAAATTATTATAAAATTTTTTACATTATATAGTAACTTACCTCTTGCAAATGTAATTTTTGAGATGCAAAGTCAGGCTAGGCAGAAAGGATATATGATGCGCAACAATTTAGATTAGTTGAATCTGGATTATTTTGTTTACACGCATCACATTTTCTTATCAAGCCTAGTATCCATAATCCACGCTCACGAAGAACTCATCGAATACCTTTGGGTTTTACTACACCATCGATATCTGTGAACTTCATGATATGTGTCGAGCTATCAGGTTTTTTATCATTACAGAGAAGCGGTTGTTTACTACTATCCTTCATGTTCATTCTTGTAACCACTAATGCATCATCAGCAAATGCATTGTGGTTGCAACTATTATCAAACAAAAACAAAGCAACTTT